GAAAATGGTAAAATAAGGGTTTGTGGTCACTAAGAAGCTATGCTGAAACAAAAATGAAAACCATCATCATTTCAGGAAAAAACAACAACAATGGAATATACAGAGTTTTTATTGTGAAAGAAAAAAAACTCCCAAAATGCCTGAGTGATTTGGTGTATTTACTGCTTGCCTAGTTAACTGGTGTCTTTGTTAAGTGCAAGTCTGTCAAATATATGAATATTTTATTCTACATGTTTAACATTTCCGTGGCTGCTGAATAATGCACATTCGTTTGGGCAATACAATTTTTTCCACAGTAGGTCGCGGCTTCTCATATGCTCCTTGTGCTGCAGCGGCTGGAAATGTATACCTCAACTGCAGGAGTTAAAAAAAAAGAAGAAACAATTTCAATTGTTGCTTACAAATCATCCACGTTGAAATCCAACCTGACAAAAGACCTCCCTTATTAGTTATGTATCAAACTGGCTCCTGATCACTTAATAGGTAGCTAGATTTAAAGATGAGAGGAAAACGGGCTTATGAGAAAAAGGAGAAGAATGAAGCAGCAAACTTTTAAATATCCTAGAACTTTAATACTGAATAAAAAAAAAGAATACCAAATTAGAATGAACAAACAAAATAATCCTCCTGGAAATACTTATATAATCCTGCCTTCACATTCCTGAATTGAGGCATCCTTCTGCCTTCTTCTCCCTCCCTCCTTCCCTCTCTTTTAAAAATCTGCCCTCATCTGTAGATTCTGAATGGCATACAACAAGGTAAAAAATATAGAATAAAAACAAAAAGGCATATAATTAATAAAAAAAGAGACACTTAAGCTTCATACTACTAGTTGTGGAGAACAGTATTTTTTTTTACTATAGTTCTTACAAATATATTTCCACTTTATTCTGCATTGGTCAGATCTTCCTCAAATGCTAGGTCAGTTGTGGATAACAAGGATGATTAGAGCTTGGAAAATGAGACTAGACTGAGGGAACTGGAACAATTAGCTTTGGCAACAGATTAGGTGAGGTATATGACAGAGCAGCCAATGCTCTTCAAGTATTATTTGGCAACTGTCACATGTCTCATTCAAATCTACCTCCTTTAACAAACATGTCAATATATACAGTCGGTCAATGTTAAAAAACATAAATACTTGATATACATTTTTGTTCTTAAGTAAAAATAAGCAAAAATAATTGAAATGCAATTGAATAATAGAAACAAAATGAATTTGCCTCCATGCCTTCTATCAGCTCACCCATTCCTTAACTTCCAACCATCTTTCCACAATCTTCAATATGTTTCCATTCTGCCCATCAGACTGATTTTTTCCCAGTCTACTAGACATCCATTTGAAAATTACTGCATCTTTTATATTGATCATTGTTTTATAAATTCCACATCTCCATACCCCCATTAGAATGTCTTCAGGTTCCCCAGAATATACCTCCTAATTTGCAATACAAATAGGACACCTTCTACGCAGTGTGTATATGTATACAAAGTAAGTACAATGACCATTCACAATAGTAAGAGTTGATAACAGAATCCACCCAGTTAGATCTAATACCCTGACTGCATATCTTATAAACCAGGGGTGTCAAACTCAAGGCCTGGCGGCTGGATTCAGCCTGCAGGATGCTTAGATCTGACCTGTAGGGCCATCCTGGAAACAGTGAAGAACTGGCCTGCAGTGCCTCTGCCAGCAAAAACAGAACACAAGAGGGCCACACGTGACCCTCCCAGACTCTGCTTTCACTAGCAGAGGGTTGCAGGAAGCAGTAGCAGGCAAAAATGGAGCTTGGGAGTCGGTTTTTGCTGGAAGAGCACTCAGGCTACCACAGGTGCCCCTTGACAAGAGTGAGTGGCCACAGCTACCCCGGCCATGGCCCCCGAAGGTCAAACACAAACCCGATGCGGCCCTCAATGAAATCGAGTTTGACACCCCTGTTATAAACAGTTAACATATCATAAATTGAATTTGTTATTTATTAAAAAAACACAAGTATATTGGCCTCTTCCAAGATTATTCTGTTTCTATCATCAATTCAAATTCGAAGTGGTCACAAATAACAGAAAAACAGAGTTGGAAGGGACCTTGGAGGTCTTCTAATCCAACCCCCTTCACAAGCTGGAAACAACGGCTGTCCAATGTCTTCTTAAAAATCTCCAATGATGGAGACCCACAATATCTGAAAGCAAACTGTTCCACTGATTAAGTATTTCTCATTTCTAGGTTGGTTCTCTCCTTGATAAGCTTCTATCCATTTTAATATAATTCATAAAAAGGACACTGACTGTATTTTTCACATGCCATGGCAGTTCATCCATTTTTTTTTTGCTCTCTTCCATAACTATACTTATAAAATATACAAAATATGCTAGGTGAGGATCTTCAACTGAAAAAAGAAACTAATAAAACAAAGCCAGCAAATTACTTCAGTTCCACTAGATAGTGATTAAAATGTCTTAATACTTGTTTTTACTTTTGTTACTGTACACTAATATATTCGCCTATTTCTGGACATTTGTCATTTGTCAATTCAAATGAGACATCTTGAATGCAGTATTGCTCTTTCCTTTATACTTACTTTCTGAAAGGTGTCTGTCAGTAAGATATTTATGCTCTGTACTTTTATGACTGGAGCAGAGCTGCAAAGCAGAAAAAGAAAAGATTTTTATATTTCGCCGATTAAATTCCCCTCCCCAAATGTATGATTAAATCAGATGGCACTGAACATCTGGCCTCTTATAGATTCAGTTTTTATTCTTCTTCAATAACACTTGAGTCTACCATGCCATAATCCTGCTATGATTACACTTTAACTCACTCACCATAAGGAAACCGTACAGCATAAATGTGGAACTTTTTATACTGGGTAAAACATATATAATTTCATTACAGTATTTGTACTGAAACACTTTGAGGAAAACTAACCTAGCTGTCAAGGTTAGTGAGTAATACAATAAGATTGTTGATAAAAGCTGATCTTGAAGGGATTAAAAACCCCAGTATTTAGATTTTTAAAAATGCCTGAGTCACTGAATAGACTTAGGAAAAGATTCCCCAGTGAAAATTTTAAACCAGTCTGAAGACGGGGAAGATTGATAGAAATTTTGCAGCTCCATATTTTATACTCACAGGTGAGAAACAACCAATTACACATTTCTACCCTTCTTCCCCAGACTTCCCTTCTTTGGTATAGTAACTGGCTCTTAAGGATTAAAAAGGTTAAGGGCAACTCTAGCATTGTTGATTTAGTCCTTGTCTTAGGGATGTAAATGTCTGAGGTTTTCCAGATTATTTAGATAACAAACATAAACACCCCTCAATTATGACTGGTAGGTAGTTGTGGAACCAGAATAAGGAGGTACAGTGACACATTTCAAACGTATGTTAAAACATTTTCTACTATAAAAGGCAATAATTAAAGAAAGCAAATTCTATCTATCTTGCTCTTTAGTGGAAAGGAAAGTCAGTGACAACAGTTTAGCCTAATTTCAGGAATATGATTATAAGATTAAGGAAAAAACTACAATTGTTATTTTTGTGAGATTTTGTAAAAAAAAAAAAGCGGTTATTTGCAGAGAAAATAATAATAAAAATCCCCTCAGCACTGCACATCTCCTCAGCTTTTATTTAAACTTTATTTTAAGGTTTAAATGAATATAAAGGTAAAGGTTCCCCTTGCACATATGTGCTAGTCGTTCCCCACTCTAGGGGGTGGTGCTCATTCCCGTTTCAAAGCCGAAGAGCCGGCACTGTCTGAAGACGTCTCCACGGTCATGTGGCTGGCATGACTAAACACTAAACAGCACAGAACGCTGTTACCTTCCCACCAAAGGTGGTCCCTATTTTTTCTACTTGCACTTTTATATACTTTCAAACTGCTAGGTTGGCAGAAGCTTGGGCAAGTAATGGGAGCTTACCCCGTTATGCGGCACTAGGGATTTGAACCACCGAACTGCCAACCTCTCTGATCGACAAGATCAGCGTCTTAGCCACCACATTCCTTTAAATGAATATTCTGTTTTTCAAATAATAGAATGAATGATTTATGAATTTTATCACAAGTGGCATATATGCTCTCAATAATAAAACACACGCTAAGGAACAAATGTATTTTAATGGCTGTGGGATTTTAGGCAGTAGTGATAAAGACCATCATTGTAATGTTTAGGGTGTACCATAGTTCAAAATATTGTAATGTCCTGAAACAGTTACATATATTTTAGCAACTGAAAGGATGAGATGGATAACAATGAGAAGTGTTCAGTGCATGTTCTTGAGGAAGTTAGAATTAAATAAATGCCGGAAACAATTTGTGGTAATGTAGCAGTTTAAACATTTGTCCCTGCATGTATACGTTTAGTAGCTACAAATTTAAGAAGAATTGAAGTCTGAAAAGATCCTTAATTTAGAACAATTAAAGCAGTTATCCACGCACAATTTCCTAGACTTGGATATGTCTGATGCTCCAATAGAAGAAAATATACGTAGCTAGAGTTGAACTGTGAGTCTTTGGTATTTTGGATTGGGGCACAATGCATTTGTCCTTGTCTGAACAATGTCCTTACACAACTCTTATAGATGGTTGGGTTATTGCTTTGCTAATAGCCAAGTGCTATTAGCAAATAATAACTTCCTACAAGAGGAGCTAGGTATGAACAAGTGCAAAACAATACCCTAATCAAAGAGAAAATCACAGCCCTATCAAAATTGACAAGGTAAGCCACTGAATTTAAACATGGAGTAAATCCCACCCTCACTTGCACTGATGATGTTATCTAGTTGAGTAATGAAACATCTGCAAGCAAACAACTAAACTCAGAGAGCACCAAGGACACTGTATTTGACATTGTTTTTCTCTCTGAATTGTTTCATATAACCTTCATTTTGTTGCTGAAGTGCTATTTACATTGCAAAAACTTCTGTTATGCCCTCATCTATTGTACAACAGAAATAAAATAAGAAAAACATGAGCAGGTCATGTACCTGGGCTTCTCTTTTCCATGGAATTTAGAACTTCTTTCATCTGATGCATTTTCTGGCTTCTTAGAAACTCTCATGCCTCCAGCTTTAACTGTTGAAGAAAGCAGGAATATTGTAGTTTCCAGTATTATACAAATATTATTAAATCTTTATTCAAAAATGAATCTAAAAAGTAAGTTCATACATCATAGGCTCAACTTCGTTTTAATCAAGGTTCATTTCACACAACATGACAAGCCACAAGTATGCAAAAGTTGGCGGGTACAGAGATATTTGTACACAAAGTGAACTGCACTTGGTTTCATGCGTTACATAAATGTTGTCACAGACTCAATTAACACATCATGCTAAGCCAGAGACACTCAAACTATGAATCACAGCCCAAAGTATTGGGAGCAACTATGGGAGGGAAAAGTTATGGTTACAGGTTTTTTACAATCTGATCAGACTTGAATAAGGAAAGCTTGAGGATGGTCACAGCTCACTCCCTTCCTTGCCTGTGTTAGCCCACAAAGCTGGAAAATTCTTGTGATATGTAGAATAAAATTAATTATTAAAAATGATACATTTTATTATACTTATTTCATACCAAACCCAATCCCACCAAAAGAATTAGATTTATTTATTGGGGGAGGATGTCAAATAGATAAGCAACTATGCTATTCCAATAGTTTGTTCAGCAAACTATGATTTACTGGCTAAGTTTACAAAACAAAATCAAAGAAACCATATTATGGTTTTGCAACTTGAATAAATTCGGCTGTTGAATCAATCCACACATCTGCTTCCCTGCCTATTGTTTTCGGGCACAGCTGCTTTGGTCTTCAAACAGAATATTTCTTATCCACTTGAAAGCATCAACAGCCACATGTTTTCTGTCTGCAAGTTAATCCCCTTCAATATTTTGATTCTTAGGCTACACTTAGGAATAGAGATATTATTGTCCCTCTTATTCAACGCCAAATTAATAATGATGATGATATTTAACCAGAAACATGGTGTTTATTATTTTATTATGATCTTTGTTGTCTTACAATGCTCTCCCATATAGCTACTGAGAACCAGTTTGATCTAGTTGTTAAGGCCTCAGGCTAGAAACCAGGGANAGAATTTTGACATCTCTCCTTCCCTTTTGTATCTCTTTCCCCCTCGTCTCTCCCCTTCTATCTCTGTATCTGTTTCTCTCTGTCTCCCCCCCCCCCATTTCTTTATGTCTGTCTCGGGTTGTCTGTGGTTGTGAGAGAAGGGGAGAAGGAGGGTCTCCTGAAGGGTAGCTTCTGCAACGGTTCACCCTTGTTCCTTAGCCAGCCGAGATTTCCAAAAAGTTGCCAAGAAGAAAGAAGAGTAGGGAAGAGCCCCAAGGAGAGCTCACCGGGTTGGCACAGCATCGGCTTTCCAAGAGAGAAGAGAGACAAGAGATAGACAGAAACAGACACACAGAGACATAGAGTGAGTGATACAGAGGGGAGAGACTAGCTGATGGGTGAGCGTCATTGGCGAGAGTACTCCAAGCCTGACCCCCTGGGTGGGCATGCAAGATTCAGTGGGGCCAGCCCTCTTTTCCTGCTGCCCTGAACAGTACTTCCCCAGCAGAGCAGTGCTGCTGCCAGCTTTCATTGAAAAGCATCCTGCCATTGATAGTCCCCCGTGCAAGTTTTAAAGCTGTGGCTGGGTGCTACAGGCCTGTCCCCCTTTCCGCCCCCTCCTTCCAGATCGTATTCCCTCCCACCCACCCAACCCTTGTGTTAGCGAAGCTGTCATCGATCAACGGCCGGGTTGGGCCAATATCTCGGGGCAGAAAGGAGGTTGTGTGTCTCGCCAAGCAACTGAAGCATGCCTAGCACCAACAAGGGCCAGAAGAAGCTCCAGCAAAAGTGAGGCGCTGGAGAATCAGCCCAGCTGCTTCTCCATCCCCGCTGTTGCCCTTACCTTCTCAGGCCAGGCAAGGAGGGGGAGGGAAGGGTGAGGAACAGGGCCAGCCAGTGATGGGATCACTCAACAGGGAGCCACAGCAGAAGGCCCAAAGAGCCACATGTGGCTCCGGAACTGCAGGTTGCATACATCCAGTATACACAATTTCTTGCCATTTAACAGCTTAAAACTATTTTCCACACAATCTTTCCTGGAATACTGTATTTTTTGGACTATAAGATGCACCAAGATTTTGAAGAGGTAAATTAAAAAGCTTTTGCCCTTCCCAGCCCCGAGGAGCACTATGCAGGCCTCCCAAACCCTCTGCACACCNGTTTGGGCAATACAATTTTTTCCACAGTAGGTCGCGGCTTCTCATATGCTCCTTGTGCTGCGGCGGCTGGAAATGTATGCCTCAATTTCTGAAAGGTGTCTGTCAGTAAGATATTTATGCTCTGTACTTTTATGACTGGAGCAGAGCTGGCCTTCTCTTTTCCATGGAATTTAGAACTTTTTTCATCTGATGTATTTTCTAGCTTCTTAGAAACTCTCATGCCTCCAGCTTTAACTGCGGGAAGGCGCCCCCCCCACTTCACCCAGGGAAGATGGCGGGGACAACTCTGGGTTTGCCATTCTTGAAGAGTTTGGTCCAAGAGGGTGTGATCTCCCTGCTAGGTAGCGTTACTACTCGTCCTCCTACTGAGGAATCTTCTTCATTTCCCTTTAGAATGTGGATTTTTTTTTCAAGGATTTGAAAAAAAAAACAGGTACACAGGACCTGTGGGAAACAGGTACTATGTGTTCATTCTTATTTCTTTTCTTTTGATTGCAATGATTCGGAATGTGTTAAAGCATTTTTAAAGTGATTCAGGATTTTGCTCGTATTTCCACAATAAAACTGTAAAGATAATGTAAATAAGGCTCTCAGCTGATCTTGGGAGATTAACACTCATTTGATTCTGTTTGTGTATGATGAGATTCATATCTGCTTTATAAAGGGCAACTTTGGCCTGTCTGTATTATTTAAATAGAACCTAAAAATCATAGGCTGGAAAGGGTCCTGAGGTCTTCTAGCCCAACTCCCTGATGAAGGGAAGGAGCCTTTTTTCAGTCAAATATTTGTCCAGTCTGTTTTTGAAAACTTCCAGTGTTGGAGCACTCACAGCTCCAAGAGGCAAGCTATTCCACTGATTATTTGCTTGGACTGTCAGAAAATTTCTTACTTCTGCTATCTCTCTTTAACAAGCCTTTTGTCTGCCCTCTGGTGTTCTGGAGAGTAAGCCAATCCCCTTTTCTCTGTGACAGCTTCTGAAGTACTGGTAGATAGTTATGCCCCTGCTAATCCTTCTCTTTGATAGACTAGATACCTAGCTCCCTCAACCATTCCTATTTAGCCTCAAGGCTCTTTATTATCTTTGTTGCTCTTCTCTATGCTTTCCAGGATTCTCAGCATCTTTTTTGTACTGGGGCGACCAAAACTTGACAAAATATTCCAAGTGCAGTATAAAGTGGTACCATCAAATCATTTATTTAAAATGAATAGAGAGACAGCTGTATTTTTGAAGAAAATAATTTAATTCTTAAATACTTTATGATTCCTTAAAATTTTGTAAAATGGTAATATGTTTGTGGCAACAAATCTAAGATTGCAATCGTATATCTACTTATCTGACAATAAGGTTCATAGATTATATTTTAAAGGTTGACTTCTTTTATTTAAATTATTTTTCTCTAAAGCTCAAATGGCATGTGTGGGGGAGTAACCTCAATTTTATCCCCCCAAAACCCCTGTGAGGTAAGTTAGATTAAGGCAGTTAACATTTTATCAAAAGACAAAAATGAGTTTCTACAGGTATATGGAAAAGATCACTCAGTAACCATCTACTGTCTTTTTTCAGAGCTTATCATCCCCCTAGTGGCCGAATGATAGAAGTTTATACAACTCAACCTGGTGTTCAATTTTATACAGGAAATTTCCTGGATGGGACTCTAAAGGGTAAAGAGGGCCAGGTGTACTTCAAACATTCTGGTTTCTGCCTTGAAACACAAAATTGGCCAAATGCCGTGAATCAGGTACATTTTCTTAGATGTTAAAAGACATTACATCTTGGACAGGGGATCCTACCAGTGTAACAACCGGCTCGCTTCATGCGCGTTTGTAGTTACCCGTCGCTCCGATGAACAGCTGATTCAGGGGTGGTGGCAATCGCACATGTGCATGTTGCACGCAGATGCAGTTTGCTGTTTCCCAATAAAAACAGATATGGAGCAGGGGTGGGCCCGAACAAGTTCGCTCTCCGCTGCTTACTGGAACTACTGGTTTGCCTGAACCAGTAGAATTCTGCCCCCCTGATCTTGGATCCCAATATATTGAAGCCTTTGCCGTTGGGGTATAATGGATTGAGCTATAGATTAAATGAAGTATTGTTCCGTTTGGAGTTGAAGAGAAATCTTATATTGTCATAGACATAGACAATAGAATTATCTTTTTATGCTGCTCCTCCCCCCAATTTTAAATTGCGTTCAAAAAGTGAGCCCTCCAGTTGAAATCAGATACAATCTTCAAAGGAGAATCATGTGATTTCTCTATATCTTGACTAGCTCTTAATGCCAACAAATTCGGCTACCAGATAGTAAACTAGATAGCCATCAAGCACTTATCTATTAAACGTGTCCATTTAAGCCAATCTTTCCATTCAATTTATGTATGTTGTATAAAATGTTAAAAATCAGGTTTTGAATCGAATATTCTGATCATTTAGGGAATGTTTTCCATTCCAGACAAGAATATAAAGATTGAAAAAACTTCTGAATTCTGATCAAAGTATTCTGAAGCTGTTTTTAAATTCAGACAATTGAGTACTAGTATGGTTCTTCTTCCTAAAGTGTTTTTTTTTCTTTATAGCCTAATTTTCCAGATGTCCTGCTGTACCCAGGAGATGAATACAATACCACAACATGTTTCAAGTTCTCTGTATCTTAAATGAAATCATCATGTTCTTGTGCCATATTCCTCATCGGACATTGGTGATCATGTTGGCAATTCTATTTTTGTCAACAGCTGCATGAAAAAGTGCTGCTGAGTTTTGTCCAAACCAGTCCCTTAGGTTTTGAAACCAAATGAAATCTTGCTACAAGTTAATTTTGCAAAAATATTTTAAGTGATTCAAGCAGATTCTGAATATCCTAATTATAGCTCAAATTTCATCAGCCATTAAAAAGGTAGTATTTGGATAAGTCCCCACTTCATAGTATAAAAGTAGCAAAATTTAAGTTCAGTCAACAAATTGAATATTATCATCTCTACCTGCAGTTTACCACCTTTTGATAGATTTTATATTACACCATGTAAATAGGAAGTGAAGTCCTAATTTAAAATCACGAAGACTTTCATTAAGGTGGTTTGTGGCAATGTTCCTTACAGTGCAGGTATTACTGAGACGTCATAATCTGATCAGATATTTGGTAATGCTGTTTCCACTATTCCAGAATTTAAGATTCCAAACATTGTGTGGTCATCTCTTTCATTCAACCATTTTCTGGGACCACAAGGGTTCTATACAGACTCAGGAAGAGGCAGAACCAAAGATGTAATGTGAACATACTGATACAGTTCTTAATGGTTGCGTATATCTTTCATGCACTGCTAAATTTCATGGTTAGGTGCAAGTCAGCTAAAAATGTCAATTGGTCTTACCTGAACTGCAAGTCTATAAGTCCCCGTAGGAGGAGTTATCGATGGATATTCTCAGACCCCATTTGCCTTGAGACTGAGGTTAAAGTGAGGCCACTTCCCTCTGCCTCACTTCCTGGCTCCAGTTTA